TACCTTTCATAGGATGACAATTATTACTTTGACAAAAGCAATTTTAGTACCTAGGTAAGAGGAGAAACCAAATTGGCTGGATTCAAACGTAGAATTACAGAAATGTTGAGCATAGATTTGAGAGACAACGCATCATGTTTGGGACAGTGAAGAAAAGTTGGAGATGTGGTATTTGCAAGGAGGATAATAAGGTGAGCAAAATCAGCTATTATTGAATTATATAAAAGTTGAGTGCATCGATTAGCTTTGAGACATTGTACATTAAAATATCAAAAGCATTAAGAAGGGAAAGAAAAGTTTGTGTTTTTTTCTGACTTGGAGTTGGGACATTTTAGGCATTTGGTAATCTGCAAACATCCCTCACTAATTCAATTATATTGACCTCAGGGTGTACTTAAACCATTTTCTCACAGGGAGTGTCTCAGCTGTAGTCTTAAAAGGGATATGTCAGATCAGCAAGGGAATTGCAGCAAGATTACCTGTAAGTGGTATTTTGGGAGCAGAATGGGTGTAAAATTTATTAGAGGTTTTGTAGATCATATGTTTCCTAGGTAATCGCCCTGAAACATTAACCCTACCTTTCTCTTTTGTATACTTTCTTCCTGACTTGCTGAATGACTAGTATTTTCTGTTCATATTTCAAGTTTCCCTTACCTACATTCCTTCTAAGAATATAAATAAAATACACTAGCGATGTCAAATGGGCTGCCAATTTGCAGAGGACTTTGGGCTCTGTGGAGAAAGTAAAAGGAAATGATCATGTATGGCCCTTAGCTGGACATTCCCAAGATACTTCTCTCCAAGTGTCAAAGTGTTAGGGATTTTCCGTTCATCTTTATATCAGATAAATGTCCTATTGTACAGACACTGAATGCACAGAACACAAGTAGAAATTCCTAGCTAATACTACCTTGAGGATATTTTGTCATTGATGGCGAGACAAAGCCATTCTATCATGACCGTATTTGATCTCTTGTCACTTTAAATGAGCAAAATAACTTGTAAAGTTCACCATCAGTGGTGTGACGGAACTGGAGATTCTGTTTACTCTAAGCATGTGACTCCTGATGGCACATTCTTTGGATCAATTTCAGAAAGCCTGAATGCTACTGAAAGGAAATGAGAACTATGCAATTTTCCATGTTAATATTTCATTTTATTTATATTAGAAATTCAAATACTAATAAAATATTCATTTTTTAATGTCAGAAACAATACTCCAACTGCCACCACTTAGTTTAATGACACCAAGCAGCTTACATTCATTGTGGAAAAATAAGAGTAAAGCTCTCCTGAGTGATGTGTTAAGTCTGCGGAGAAACAGCTGTCCCTGTAATTTTTCCACATTTTGGAGTTATTAGACATCATCACCATGGCATCATCAATTGAAATGGCAACAAGCAGGAATCTGCTCCTAATATAAAGTTAATCGTTATTCAGTAAGCATGTATGTTTAATTAAAATGTACTAAGGCTAACAGTGAGAGAGATTTAATTATGTCTTCCTACACTTTCCCTTTAAAGACATCATATACCAATTAGCCAATGGCCTTTTGCTTGTGTATTTAAAATATTTATCTTTAAACAAGGTCATAAGTAAAAATCAAATGTTGGATTCTTATCTTGCATTGAATCAATGAAGCATCATTATGTGATGTCCCTGATGAACAGCAGAAGTTACTTGGGGCTGGTGGGCCTGAGGCTAAGGCTAAGGCTAAGGCTTGGATGTTTTGGTACTCTGCCTCTGAAAGGTGGCAGTTTCAAATGAGTGGGTAAATGTCTGGAATTAATTGCAGGATGTATCTGTGGTAAAAATTTGGAGTGTGATCTATCATCTGGCTTTGTTCCACTATATTTCTTTCAAAGGGACTGTTTCTGTGGCGAACATTTTAGATTATTTCTTATGCATTCACATCAATTTCCTATGATTCATGAGTCTATGAGGTTGGTTTTGCACTGGTTTAAGCAATCTGTTTTGATGTGCTTGCCTAATATAGAAATTTTTCTGATACAATAGTTATGTATTATTTTTTGCAATGCGTCTTTAATGAGTTGAAGCAATTACACAGCTCAAAGTTTTGTTCTGCAGACACACCATACAAACATTTCATTCCTGTCAATGCTCACTGCTGACACCAAAGTTGCTCAGTCTTGTGAAATAGAGCTGAAGAATAACATTAATCTGCAACACCCAATCTTTACAGCACACAGTGTAGCTCATGAACATAACTTTGGTGGAAGTTAATTCCTACTAGTGGAGACATTCTGTCAAACTGAAGCTGTACAAAATGGCCAGAAATGTTGGTATGCTGGACTTGCAGCCCATCTGACAATTTTTTATTTGCGTATTATCATTGTTCACATTTAATTTCTGACAAAATTATTACCAAAACCTCTACTGAATATTAAATATTTGACAAGAAGTAAAAGGTGAAACCATAAACCCGAACAGGAAACAAATTTATATCCATCACCTATCCCCAACTATCATCTTTGCTCTAGAATTAAAACTGCAACATTTTAACTTTTTTCGATATTTATGTCATTTATCTTACAGGGAATGTTTATTCACTTCAAACTCCAAATGTTATCTTACTCTAGTAACTGCATTTATACGTACTGTGACCGTAAGCAGACTGTTCTCAGTCGTAGAGCTGTTCCCATTGAAGTAGTATGACCATTGCAACTTTGTCAAGAAATAGTTTTCCATTAAGTTATTCTCTACATTTCTTTTAGAACAATTGTACGTTTAAAGAAAATGTAATAGGATACTGTTCTGTTACAAAGCAAACAAGATTCCTGTAATATAAAGAGGTTTGATTTTCCCACTTTGTTAACCAGAAATTAAATATTGATATTAGTCACATTGTGTTGATTCAGTCAAGGGTGCATTTAACCCATGACAACCTCATCAACAAAAATCAAAAGCAGAATACAATGGTCAGTAATTGTAAAGATTGTTTGCATCATACAAATGAAGCATGCTGTAGAATGCATTTAATGGTAATAACATCAGTCTAGGGGGAAATACACAGGTGAAAACAAATCAGAAGAGATGAAAATTTGGTATTGTGTCAAACATGTTTGCAAAACATAAGATTGTGTTATATTCTATATCACTCTTATATGAGAAGTATTCTATGCAAGATCATCTTGCCTGATGCAAGTGAAACTTGAAAAACATCTGGATGTTAGAAATGCTTTAGCAGTTATACTGATGGTAAGCAACAATCTCTATAGATCACAGCAGGAAAATGTGAGACAACCATCTTTAGTACAGGAATTAATAGGATGGGGGATTCACAAATTGAGACCTTTATGCTGGTATGAGAGAATGTGACAACTTTGTCATTATGTCCAGTCTAAGATTAATATACCTTGTTTATTTTTTTTTCAGACTAGTTGTCTATTTTCCAAAGGCTTAATTTTTATTCATCACACTTAATATTTTATTGTAAAGATAACAGCTTGTCCTCAGGAACATTAAATTGTGCAAGCCAGTGTTTTAAGGGCATGGAGGTTTATTTGTAATAAGCGTGTTGTGGGATTGGTAACTGAAATAAGTGTTTACATCATTGGTCTAATGTGATGATGTCAAACTAAAGTGTGACAACAGTTCAGAGCTTAAATATTAATATTTGGTGGATCATCTTATATTGTAATTTAAGATCAAAAAAGTTGTGTTTTTCTTTTGATCATGGTAATTGATATTCTGCCTTCAGACTAATTAAAAGTATAAAAGAATATGCAGTTTGGTACAGTGCTGATGTACATTCAGAGTACTGGACTCTTTAAGCAGGTTGTTACATATTTGGGTCAAAATTTTGAGATTCTGGAAGTTTGTTGGAAGCAACTGGGAAAAATGTACTCTTAAACACTAATAGTAGATGAAGCTGTTGTAAATTTCTTTTGGTTCTGTACATTATTCTGCCTGTATTTTTACTTTTCTAAATCACCCTATTGAAAAATTAATTTGCCTCAATGCAATGAGTAGTTTTAGCTTGTGCAAAGTAGATGTGGTATTTGATATCTTGTACCTTAGAAATCATGCAGACAGCAGCCTAAGAATTATTTTGACTATCAGAAGGAACATACCCAACATTGATTCCTATATCTAAAATAATACCCCATTCTTGTCAAGAGGCAGGTGTATGTTGTCATTCAAGTGGCTTTGAGGGCCATGTCAGAGCAGTATGCTAATAATCCAATGTAATTTTCTATTCTGTACTGGAGGGCTTCTCAAACAATGGGAAGTGGACAGGATTTGGGGTTCACACGCTTTAAGACGGCAGTGGTGACCATGAGCTCTGACTCAGCTTTGATAGCCGTCAGTCCCTTTAAATACAATCAGAGATAGTAGGAACTGCAGATGCTGGAGAATCCGAGACAACAAGGTGCAGGGCTGGATGAACACAGCAGGCCAAGCAGGATCATAGGAGCAGAGAGGCTGACGTTTCGGGCCTAGACCCTTCATCAGAAAAATACTTGCGTTTTTTTTGTGCCCTCAGGCATGGCTTAACCATCTATCCACTCAGGCCGGATTGCTGCTATAACCTCAGTGGGTAAAAAAGGTGGCTCTATAGTTTATGAGGGCTTCAACCTCCCCTCCCAATTCTCACTCTGGAACTACACCAAGTCTGAGGCATTAAAAACGCCATCAGATTGAGAAAAGGTTTAACAGGCACAGTTATAGGGGGTATCATGCATCCATTATGATGTGCAATATTAATGCTAAATTAGATCTTTGATAACAACATTGGCGATACATATCCAGAAAGGGTTTGAAATGAGCCTCAAAAGGCAGTGAAATTGGTGTGTGCTATGTGGCCAGTAGTCAAAAGGGTCGCTCCTTCAGATCGGCCTGTTCACTGGGAGGTCAACTGCAATGATCTACTGCAATCCAGCAAAACACGAGCCTTCATCTCCAACGCGGCTCCTTAGTCTGACATAAAACATTGTATTTCACTGAGAGCTGCACTTGGTCTATTTGCCATGACTCACCCACTCTGAGCTCCTGTCCGAAGACTGTTTTCTCTCCGAGTGCTGAGCAGTTCCAGCGGCCGTACCTGAACTGATACTGACACTCGTTGATGCCCATTTGCGCCCCTTCCCCGATCACAATGATGGCATCCGGGCGGCTCTGACAGATCGCCCGCTGCCGGGGTGCCAGTCCTGGGATCTTGTTGCAGATGATATTCGCTCCCAAGGCGACCACTGAGGACAAGGCTCTAAAACAGGGAGCAAAAAGAAAACAAATCACAAAAACGCACGGCCCGAGCAGCAATTCCAATCAAATCGCGACTATTGACTAAGGCGGCCTCCAGGCAAAATCTGATTGACAGTGTTTCCATGCCGGTAATGTGTCTGAATTGCCACCCCTGTACCTGTACTTCCTGACAGGCGGTCGTTGTGTTGCAGTGGACGTAAATCTACAGAAAAGTTTACATTCAAGTGATCCTGTTACAGTTTAACAGGGAGCTTGCACAAGGAACGGGTTAAACTACACAGCACGTTCCCGAGAGCTCGCATTTTGTCCGCTTCCCCTGAGAGAGAGAGAAAAAAGCAACCAGAGATTTTCTGAAGGATTTGGGAAAATATATAATTAGGCCACAGAGTGAGAGAGAAGACATTTGGATTAAGTTTAAACGGATGAAATGGAGAGTGAGATTGGGAACACAAGAAGGGAGGGGCGAGAGAATGAAGGCAGGCTCAGAAAGCGAGCCGGAGCTTCCACTACACTGTACTCCCACCTGTAGTGGAGAGTAGCTGTGCCAAACCCTCCCAGTCTACCAGCGCACTGTGCTTTTCTCCATTTCCCCTTCTCTCGCACACAGTAAATCTCTATTTGACGCGATACTTAAAGATTTTAGGTGAAGGGGGAGAGGCAACCAACTTACCAACTGGCGGTGTGAATACCGCAGCAAAGTGGCAGCTAAAACCGCAGCATTAATACACAGGTAAATACACCCGGCGTCCGGTGAAGACCCAGAGAGAGAAACAATGCAATCGGAGCACCTCTTCCCCCAAGTATTTAGCATTTTCAAGCTAAACTCTGAAGGTACAACTTAAATCCTCGAGAATTTTAAGGCATTGAAAAAGATTGTCTGACTTACAGGTAACTTCCGCTGGTGAGAATAAGAAACATCTGCGGGTAATAAATTGATAGGAGCACACTGCGGGATAGAAAGATGATCATGTTCGCTGTTTGCGCCAGCTCCTACTGGGTTTGTTTGTTTTATTAGAATAGGAGCGCTAGATGCTATTTGTGTGCTGAGTCTTTGTCTAAGTCCTCGGTAATTAGTCTTGTCCGGTGTCTTGACGCTAGATTGGTGTTTTTGCCTCTCTTTCATGACGGAGCAGTGGTTTGCAGTTGTTCGGAGTTGCAGTTCGAATGGTTGAGTGTTTTGTGAGAGTTCATCTGCTCTCAGGAGACCGCCTGTTGCAATTGGGCAGACAGGCTAATCCCAGCCACTGCAATCCGCCCACTCCCTTTCAAATCACAATGGGGCAAAAATGACAATGAAAATTGCTCAGATCTGCTGATAGACAGTTAGGCAAGTTCCACTAACAGCTTCCTCACATTTTAAAGGGGAAGTCAGCGATTAGCCTTGAGTACGGGATACAATGCAACGAAACTGGCCATGTTTAAAGTGGCAACCAGTTTCATTTGGGTTCAGTAATGTTATTTGGAGACTGCAATGTGGAGATTTCCATTTAAATAATCACACGTTATTTTAAAGGCTATGTTCCAAAACAACAGTTCCAAAACCTTAGATAATCCTTACTTTAACATGGCAGTCCTAATCTTATTCAAGTACCTCGTTTTGCTGATAATGTTAAATCCAATGCACCTTCATAAAAGAGAGAGAAAAAAAGAGCTTTGCAAATATAAATTCTGTATGTAAATCTATCTACGCACGATAATTGCAGCCATTGAGGTACAGCATACAACACTGACGTGACAGTCTCAGATGTTCGGTGATCAGTAAAAGGCCTGTTATGGGGCAAGAAGCCTTGCGATATAATATTTGTCTTAATTTTATTGACTACAATTGACAATACGACTGAATTTCAAGACACAAAACATTATCATGTTTAATCATTTTCCATTGACTGTACTGACAGACTTAGGTGAACGAGTAGTACAATGAACACAATCCAGGCCCTGGAGATACAGTACACCTGGTGTAGGCATATACAGTTGAGCCAACACTTAAAATATGTCACAACCGCGGATTCATGAGAAAGGTGTATTCAGTGGCGAATATCAGGAAATAGGGCATACATCACGTCTAAATATTAGACAGTGGGGGACATCAGAATGTGTAGTTACTTGGAGATAAAGAGCTCACAACCCTAAAACTGAAAATGATCCTTTAGGACAAAGACTGCCAAACAAGCACAGAGAATGCTGGAGAAACTCAGCAGGTCCGGTAGCATCGGTTCAGAGAGAAACACAAAGTTAACGTCCCTGACTCCTCTTCAGAACTCCAGTTGCTTCCAGATTTGCTAAATTTGTCTCAGATTTCCAGCATCCCCAGTATTTTGCTTTGTTAAGAACTGATAAAATATTGTTGCTGTTAGTGGCAGGGGAGAGCTTTCATGAAATATAAAGTTCATCTTTTAATTTGAAAGATTTTGGCAGAAGACAAACGTGCACCTTTATCAGTGTTCAGATTGATTCCACCGTGCCAAATCTCACTAAACCCCACTCCTTGGATTTATACAGGTAGAACTGAGAATGAGAGCTCATTCCAATGTCTTCTTTCAGTAAAAATGCCACTTTAACTGTGTAAATGAAGTGATATAGGACATGTTTGAATTGCTTCGCCATATAAGGTTTATTAAAAAGTTACCGCCACATTTTAAAGAATGGCACGAATGTTCTTTTGCTGATTTTGGGTTAGTTATTCTCGTTATTCTACTCGTGCTGCTTTCAGCTGTGCAGAAGTCCAATGTCAGGTGACACGTAAAACAGGATTGTAGACATTTCAAAATCAATCTGTTCAGGCACATTGTGACACTTTGGAGCAAGTAGAACTTGAGTTTGCATTTCCTTAAAAGTCTTAAACCTGATTGAAACCTTGGCTCTTTACTGGCGCTAAAAAAGGTGATATACCACTCAAGGATTTTGTAAACTTATAAACTTTTTGCGAACATATCAAATATTAAGAGGTTTATTTCACGCTAGTTGCAGTTATACCCCGGCCGTTCCAATCTAGCCTCACCAGCAGTCATTACTTTGTGAACCCAAAAATGCCTTGTTCCCTTGGAGTGGACCTTTGCATCGCCAAATCGCAGCTTCAACCTAATGGCGATACAAAAATTCAGCTTAAACCCGCATATGAGGGTCAGTGATAATGTCCGCCCCCTGGGCCCGAAGCCCCATCTGCTGCGGAGTTTTCAGAACTGAGTTCATAAGATTGATCGAAAATACGCGGAGCGTGAGGCTTCGATTTGACTGGGTTAGTGGCAGACCCCGCCAATTGTGATTTCACACAGTGGACTATAAATTCAGTGCTGCGCAGACAGATGGGGTTTCTGACGGAAATTCGAGAGTACGCCCTGTTTAAAGGGTCTAAAACATTTGGAGCTGAAGACAGTGTCCGCATTCTCCAAACGCTCAAAATTAGATAGAGACAGACTTCTGCTCCTATGCCGAAGCTGAAATACGCCAAGTTATTTGGTAGTGAAGTATGATTTTAAGCCCTTCTGACTGGAGCTAGGCTCCTGGCGCAGCCAAAAACCCCAAGAACAGCCCATCCCTCTGAACCCAGCCCTCCAGTGCAGTTCAAACCGCCTGCGGTCGAACACATGCACTAGCCAACAAAGACCTCTAAGAAACATCTCAAAACTGAGATTGGAGACGTTGTAGGTGAAAAATCTAACTAGCTTTATTGATCAGATTCTACTCTAACACTTCACACTTGACTTTGAACAGAAACAGGAATTAATATCAACTGTGCAGTTACCAGCGGTATCTGGTGAAATGAGGGGTTTCCGGATATCACTCTCCACGCCTGTGATAACTAACTGTTTCCCGAGCTCCCACGTGGGTTTCAGTCAAATTATTGCACAGGGCAATGTAGCTGAATGGTTTGAAAGGGTTGATCTGAACCAATTAAAAATGTGAGATTATTTTGACAGGGTGGTCTCGTATAACTGGTTTCACGACCGCACAGAGTCAATGTTAACGTTTAAATGAAAATCAGCAGATTTCGGTTACGTTTGTAATGATATTGGGCCGTTGAGGAACTCTTGTGACACAGTGGTAGTGTCCCTACCCCTGGACCTGGAGGTCCGGTTTGAAGTCCCACCTGCTCCAGAGATGTGTAATAACATTTCTGAACAGGTTGATGAGAAAAATAGATCAAATAAAAACAATTACACGCCGTTGTCTGTTCACAGGTTGTTTATTCTAAACCAGTATTGGGACAGCACTAAGTTGAGCATTCAGCGTTTCTCCAGTCAGGATATAACACTGTGGGAACATTCACTTCTTTAAAGCAGCTACTTGTAATCTAACCGTGCTCTTCTCAATGGTACCCCGCCCGTGTGAAAATAAACGATACTGTTTACCTCTGGTGATGGATTAGTGTGGATTAATGAAGATCAAGTATTGCAGTATAAAGTCAAATGGTTAAGTTATATGTGTGACCCGTATAACACGAACACTGTGCATTTTAGTCTGATGTGTGAGAAGGCAGTGTTCGCCTCCTGTATAGAATGTTTCAGTGTGTGAGGGATGCTGGAGAGCTAGCAGATACGGTATTCCAGAACTGACTTAATATTCGTTCAGAGAGACTAACTGCAGTATTAATGGAGAATAAAGGTAGTTGTTGGTATCATCTGAGCATGATGTGGACGCTTCAACTAATTAATGTTTTACTCCAGTGTAAAGCCAACCCTTGATACAACACTAACAATACAAATGATCGAAACGCACACTACCATTAAAATAACAGCTACTAAAATTGGTTCAGAGATAGTGGGAACTGCCGATGCTGGAGAATCTGAGATAACAAGTTGTAGAGCTGGATGACCTTTCTGAAGAAGGGTCTAGACCCGAAACGTCAGCTTTCCTGCTCCTCTGATGCTGCTTGGCCTGCTGCGTTCATCCAGCTCTACACCTTGTTATCTCAGCTACTAAAATTGCGACAGGTTATATACAATGATCTTGATGTAACAATAAAAGTCGTGGCTTGTATAGGACACCAAGGTGAAGAGAACTTTAGGGAGTAAGCTCCAGTGATTGCTTAATTTATTGCACTGATCGTTCATTTATTGGCCTTGAGGTTACGAGGTCACAATTGATAGGTGCTTTTGAAATCTGTTGTCAGTTCAGTAATACAGACACATTTTTCTGGGCCCGCCGAAAGTTGCCTCTGCAGTTCAACACCTGGTCTAATAGACGAGGCGTCTACTACTTTACACCACGTTTCACCATCTCCGAATAGAACTTTCAGGTACAACTACTCCCTCAACTGATCATTACAGGAACGTTTGTTTTGACTCCAAATAACTCGCATCTTCCTGTTCATTCTTGTTGTTAGAAAGCCTTGGGGATTTGAGGTACAATTTCTGGAATTACTTGCGCCCAGGTGTGATTGCAGCTGGATTTAACACGTATCTTTAATTTGATTGTTTCTAAGAAGCCAGGCTAGCAGCATGTTACTGAATAATATATTGTAACATGGATGAAACTATTTTCATTGTTGTATCTTTTCAGAACTGGCTAGTATTACCTCTAGGATCTTGCTATCCATTACCTTTAACAATGAAGCCCATTAAAGTCAATTTACAGTTTGTAAATGATCGACGTTTTATAGGCAATGCCCAGAGTGAAACACCTGCATGAGACGGTGAAGTTTGTGTACAATAGTTTGAGGTGCACCTAAGGTAGTCTGAGAATCTAATCTAATTGCGAGTTTAATCTGCTTAGTTTCACTGATCTCATGTCAAGCACCGAAACAATTAATTTGGGCTCATTATTACCAACAAATAGTTTTAAACAACATTTTCATTTCTACGGATTAGAGCCACTTTTAAGACAGTCCAACAAACAGTCCTTCAGGGGAAAAAAGAGGCTTGAATATGAGTTTGATTCGTGACTAAATTGTAAAGTGCACAACAAGTCAGAATAAGACTTCGTTCTAAAGTCAACGCAGCTAGAATTGCTAAAACTGGCATATGGCCCCGAAGCTATTGGTAGAGAATACGGAATGGGGAGGGGGGGTCACAATCTGTCAATTATTTCTTATAATAACATGAGAGTTTCCTGCAGTGACCCATCCGCTCTGAAAGGTAAACTTAATGTTCTAAACGGGTTTTTTTTGGTCTAAATCCGATAGAAAATGCTGCGGATGCTGCAAGTTTGGT